ATTTAGTGCTGTCTCATCAATATGTATGCCACCCATTTCGATTAATTGCGAAGTTAACGGTTTATTACCGTGTAGGGTGTAATGTTGATTGACCAAAATTAAGCTGGTACTTTGCTAGGCATAATGCTCAACATCGAAATCCACATTTAGATATTTGTTGATCACTTTGCGWTCGTAAYAATTTGTGCGGTAATTGTAAAATATTATATCCTAGGTGGTTAATGGTGATTTCAACTAAGTTTCGATAAAAAAAAATTAAATCTATCGATTTTCCTACTTTGACTACGATCACTATACAAATGGAMTTAAATAAACTGACGAAATAACTTTTAGTTTTCTATAAAACTCAWTGGAAATTACATAATATTGCATAACTAAAAAGCTTGCAAGACAATGAAAATAAAATTTTCAGTTGAGTTAGTCATCAATTATTCACATTTCTCCAACGTTTTGTCATAATCTCTACTTCTTTAAGCCTCCTCATTATGTAAGAAAAATATGCTTTGCTGACGCGTCCTAAAGTTTCAACTTTTACTCTAAAAAAATTATCCAATATAAACGWGCTTACTCAAGTCTCAAATATCTTACCGATATATATAATATAATTCACCAGTTTTGTTTGTAGAAAATTCAACAGTCGTCCATAACAATTCAGTTCTTCCGGAAATCCGACTAATTTCGACTGTACATACGACGGAATATCCGGATTCATACACTCAGTGATGACTAAATCGAACGATTGCTGTGCGTGACTTTATAAAATCGTAACAACATGTCCTCTTTTATATAAGAGTTCACAGTGTGACATACTTTATTCATTAACGTGAGAGAAGCCGGTGTGATCAAAGAAGTCACCGAAAATCACTGAGGGGAAAAGGGCAAGCCTCTCGACGTGGACGTAACAATCTACACTTCAAGAATCCACATAAATGTRTAGTTAAATTTTATTAAAATTAWTTTTCTRAAACAGTTTTATTAAAAACTTTCGCCAAATAAGGCAAATGCATGTTCTTTAAGATCGTTATTTATACCAGCATGRAGTGAATAAAGACTGAAGACTTTGATATTCCAATGGCTCAGTTGCATCTTAAAAGATGTATGTTTTATAAGAAACCTTGATGGTGACCGAAACAATTGGCTTTTGGTATTATACATACATATATGTTACTAAAATATCCAGTAGAAAGARTAATAGGTGTTTTTAAGAATCAATTTAGAGGTCTTTTGATTGATCATGAGCTTAACTACGAACCATGGAAGGCACCTTTAATCATTAATGTGTTTTAGAAAATATTTCAGAACCAAATATTTTTACAGAAAATAATTCAATTTTTTCAYCAACTTATATATGATGCAGCTTCACAGATCAGAGAAGCTACATGTGAAACACTTACACGAATATATTATCCTAAATAAATATTAACAGATACAACATAATACAATTTTTTTTAATTAAGTATTAATTTAATTAATTATTTTGTGACATGGCTTGAAATTGTTTTTCTTCCACTTCCAACATTATTAGAAGCAGTCAAATTATCAATAACTATGTTGTGCATTCCTATTAGTATGTCTTGGTAATACTGGACTATAKGTCACAGGTGGTCTTCCAATCTAGCCATACCTAATAAAAAATAGGTCCAACAACCTTTAAATTTTCCTGTTACAGCAATAGAAAATACAACTCTATTTATTACCTTCTTCCAGCTGAGAATACCTTTGATAGGCGCGGACCAACACTGTTCGGTCCGTTGCCCATATTTTTTTCAAAAAGCTGTTGCTTCTGCTTTAGAGCACTTGGTAAAACCCTGSGCCATTTCAGGTTTTTGCTGTAACAGCTCAATCATTAGTGCATATTGCTGTTTGGTGGTGAGAAAATCGCATTTATGATTATTTTACTTGCAACAAATATGTTTTAGTTTGAATTCAGAAAAAACTTAATTTTTTTCTTTTTTTTAAACTTATTACTCCGCTAGAAAAAACTTTTCATATAAAAATTCCGATAAAATTCAAAATTAAAAAAMAAACGCAAATTTCTTGAAAAAATCAGTTACGACTTTGTCGCAATGGGTACTTTCGTAGAGGGTGCAATTCTGAGCAATACGTGCCTAAARTCAAAGGGATTCCTTCAAATGCCTCTGAGCTATAGAAATTTATGGTAGAAAATCGTGATTTTTGTATATTTTCAATGCCTTGGTCGAGTACTTAAAATTAATATTGAGGGATTAAATTTTCTGGGATTTTTCTTTTATAGTATTTCCAAGTAAATTTCATGAGGGGATTGAAAAAAAGTTAATAAAAACGCCCATGCAAATATATTTAATTATAGCGTTTTCTTTTCTCTCAAAAATGTTGCATCAACGTTGCTCTATGCTCGGGCTATCAAAGTTGCGTATTCCWTTCTTAACATTTTCTCAGTTTCGATTGTTCTTTTCTCAAAGTGTTGCGTCAAACGTTTTCCATTCTCTCAAAACGTAAGAGGTCCTGTAAATTTGTATACTCTTGTAACCTGTTGCAAGACCAGAGTATAATAAATAGTTGTATTTACCTAACGGTTGTACGTAATCCTTACAACTTTTGAATGAAAGTAWAATTAATTCTTCGTTAATATAAAACAAAAATTTTATTATTATTATTCAACAATATCTATATTTAGTCCAATTATTTCGTTTTCAGTTTGCCACTTTGTTTGCCGGATTTGAAAACGCCGCACAAGCGTCGCAAAATCGCGTGTAAAATGAAAATGAACAACGCCAAACCGATCAGAATAATTGACACACTGTCCAGTGAATAATAGACGAACCAATTTAGYTTTACCGCCTTTGTCTGCAGCAATTTATGCGCCATTTTGCCGTTCTTTTGCAACAAATGTTCCACCCACCACACAGCTCTGTCCAGCGGTTTCATGTCTCGATTACGGAATAAGTGCGACAACAYGGCAGCATTCTCAGCATAACTGTGAAGAAAAAGATTCAAGAATATTACAAAACATACTATCTAAATATATACACACACAAGCACTAAACTCACCTCTTGCGGCGCACTTCTTTAAGCGTYGCTTCTAAACTRTTTTCATTAATATCRTCGAAGAATAGTATGGAGCCCACGCCACGATTTTGGACCGCATATGCATTAACGCTTTGATCACCGTAGAGTGGTGTGACTATTAATGGTTTGCCACAATATATATTCTCAGTGGTACCGAGTAGACCACCATGCCCCCAAAATATTTTCACTTTGGGATGGCCTGTAGGAAAATATAGCAATATTTATGTAATTATTATTTTARTGTCGCCCATTATTAATATTTGCGTGTTCATCATACTCACAGATCAAACTGAATTGTGGCGCCCATTTGACGAAGAGGAACTTCTTACTTTTCGTTGGTACTTCGTCGGTCTCCCATTTCCAAATTACATTGAAAGGCTGTCGTTCGAGTACTTTAACTATTGTTTGCACTTTCTCACTGGGCATGCTAGACGAACGTACCAAAGAACCCCAGCTAAGGAAGAGCACACCTTCGGATGGTGCATTTTTTAAGAATTTCTCAATTTCATCTGGTAATTTCGCATTTAGTGCTGCCTCATCGATATGTATGCCACCCATTTCGATTAATTGCGAAGTTAACGGTTTATTACCGTGTAGGGTGTAATGTTGGTTGACCAAAATTAAGCTGGTACTACGCTTGGCATAATCATCAACATCGAAATCTATATTTAGATATTTGTTGATCACTTTGCGATCGTAATAATTTGTGCGGTAGCTGTAAAATAGCATAACATAGATTTTAACATTAACATTAACATAACATAGTTTTCAACTAAGCCTCGACAAAAATAGAAACGAATAYTAACGAAAGGATTTCGTGTTTTGAGTATTATTATTTTACATAAGGCGAATTTAAAACCGAAAGAAAAGTTACAGTTATTTTCATAAAGGCTGAATACTAAYTTTTATAATCTTTATGTTATAAGTATCATTAGTACCACCAGCCAAACTTCCCCGCATTCAGTAATCATTTGAAGGCATTTYTCAAGCCTTTCTGCCGTGAACTACCGTGAACCCTATCGAAACAAACAGTTTAGGAAACTTTGTGAATCTTAGATATTCTAAAAATAACTTGCCAAACAATTATAGAAACATATGGTAAGGCAGTGACCGAAGTGTATATAGCGATAAATGGATTCATAAATTAACATTTTGCACATTTTGGGTTAGTTGACTGACAGTTGGTTGGAACCATCGAAAATAAAAAGGGAGTACATTATTATTTTTTTCAGTTTCATGTTTATTTCGAGAGCATTGCAAAATGGGTTCGTCACATAACTCTTTAGTTCCCAATCATAAGTTGACCATTAAATCCATGGCTTTATAAGCTGTTATTCCTTTTGATACAAATAAAGATTATTGATCATATTGGCTTGAAAAAAATTAAGCAGATGTTCATGCACTCCGCACATCGTTGGTATATATTATGTTATTTATAGGACCATGCCAATTTTCATATACTGGTATATTCGTTTTGCCATGCTCGTATGTCTTCGTAGCTCTCAATAATTAGATGTTTTCATGCTTATAGTTATTAAATTGAAGCTATAACGGAATTCACATAAAATGCTCCATACAAGAACTTGATTTCGGCCTGAACAATGTGTTGGAAGATTGTGTATGGTCTTGGACATAAATCTATACCAAATTTCGTTAAGATATTTTCTCAAATAAAAAGGGTTGTTATACAAAAACTTGATTACCATCGTTCAGTTTGTGTGGTAGCTATGTACTATAAATTCAAAGTGATCTCTCAAAAACTAAGGGATAGACAGATAGACTGACTAAATCGTTTCAGCTCGTCGCTATGATCATTTTTACATATATWCAATAAACTTTATAGGGTCTCCTATGTTTACGTCTGAAAATTACAAACTTCGTCACGAACTTAATATTCCTTGTTCGGGGCCCTTAATTTTAACGAATTGCAGTAATATACATATAAAGTACGGYTACAATATACAGGGTTTGTCCGGCAAGTAATAGGACTAATTTTTTACCGCAGAGACTGTACTTCGGAGTGTGTGCGTACCGAGTGGATATTCGGTAGAGTGTKTTTCTAGCCAACGAACGAGAGGCTGATCAGTCGTCTCCGAGCCGAAAGAGGCCGCTAATGAAGATCGAAAGARTGAGCAAATCCAAAGTGAAAACGATGCTCATTGTCTTTTTAGACATYAATGGCTCCGTCCACCATGAATTTATKCCTCCTGAACAAACCCAGAATGCCAAGTTTTTCGTGGAAGTCCTCAAAAGCCTCAAAGGTCTGAAAAGACACCACAGCCGATTCTAAGTTGCACAACGATAGCTACAGCTACCTAACAAACCTCTTCCGCAGGCGTTCGACAGCCCCAATGTGGCCACCAGACTTYTTTTGCTTCTTTGCCAGAAAACGCCGATGAAAGGCAAGCATTTTGAGACCACAGAGGGGATCCAAGCAGCATGCACCTCGGCTCTCAGGGCTATGCCGGAGGATGCTTGAAAATCGCGCTGGCAGTGCTGGATCGGCGCAGAAGGAGCCTGTTTTGAAAGTTTTTAAAGAATTGTAACGATTGATTCAATAAATTTTTTTAAACCGACTCAGTCCTATTACTTTCCGGACAAACCCTGTACTTAATATATCCTTCCTGCTGAAGATATCACTTGTATCAAGCAAAATATTGTTAAATAAATTAATTTCATCACATATCTTCCGATTTTATGTAACAATTAACAACAATACTAAGCTAAGGTGATCCCCACGTCTAAGTTTGTAAGCGTATATGATTACTATGTTAAAATTTATAGTTATATTGTGCCGCTTAACGGCACTTGATAATTTCTTACCGATAAAGCTTCTTGATTACATTCGCTTGTACGAAATTCAATAGACGTTCATGCCAGTTCAACTCCTCCGGAAAGCCGACAAATTCAGATTGTACGTGAGAGGGGAAATCGGGCAATGCAATACGATCGTAGAAATATGGCATTAATAAACAACTACTTAAACCCACTATCGGCACTTCCAGCAGATATGGTATACCCAACTGGCAGTCTGAATTGAAGTACTCGGTGATAACCAAATCGTATGGTTCCTGTTCGTGTCTTTTCAATATCGTTTCGATATGGCCGCTCTCATAGAAAAGTTCGCAAGTTTTCTGTCCCTCTTTATGCAAAATATCTGCTTCCAATAAAAGATAGTGTAACGGACGTCGCGGTAGTATATGTTCGAAAGTGAGGATATTTGTAGATTTTTGACCTCCTAACAATAATTCTTCATAGTTGGTGGTGGTATTAGCGGGCGCTTGAATATGTGTGACCACGGTGACATGATGACCATGCTCCGCCAATGTGCGCAATAGGGGAAAAAACACCTTAAAATGACTGTAGCCAAAGTGGGGAAAAATGCCGAGTATACGAGCGCCAGCAACGATTTTTGTCGGTGAGACCGCTACAGCCAGCAAAAAATAAATCAATAACATCGATTTGGCCATATTTGTACTACTGTTAGCGGTTTTCGCGTATTMACACACACTATTGTCACTATATCATCGATGTTATATAACTTTCGTTGACTTTTAAAGAATTTTTCGAAAGAATTCACACCGAGTAACTGTATGTTATGTATGTATGTATGTATATCTAATAAAAAACAATTTATTTCAAGCAGAATAAGGCAACACGTGTAAAAAAGTGCCGGCAAGTGAGCTTTTGGTGAAGCCAAATAAATCAAATTGCCTTGGCTGTAGTTTTCTGGGATGCGTTGGCCCCGCTGTCTACTCAATCACTGACTACAAAACACACTGAATTGCTCTTCCCTCAAAAATATACAAAATACGCATTGGCAATCTAAATTTGTATTGGTTTTTATGTAAATAAATACGTATGTGTGTATGTTATAGCGATCTTCACAAACGTTGGTCGGGCACTTAAGTAGATATGTATGTATGTATATGCGATTTGTTTTCATTAACCTATTTAATATTATTTATTGCTCCCGAGAGAGCGGAGTTTTTATTATGCTCCGTGCTGATAGCAAAATTCACACGAGCGTTCATTCAAATCTATGCATGTACACATGTAAGTTCTTCTTTACAGATTTACATATATTGGGTATACAAATTTGTTGCCCGAACTATTTCGAAAAAAAAACAAGATTTTGCATATTTCTTATTTAATTGCTTATTAATGATCATGTTTCAAGTGACATCAGTCACCAGCAACAACAATACAGAGTACATGAGATTGATAGTACGAATGGCGATTTCATGACTAGACAGAAGCTGTAAAGAATATGTGAGACCTAACGAAAGCAGCTACGCTCGAAATTTGTAAAATCCGGTAATTTGTATTAGAAATTTTAAAATTATTTTTAATTAATATGGTCGGGATTACAAGATAAAAAAGTTTAATTCAAATATTAATGCATGGCAAGAGAAAACGAAAAGATTCTGAACTCTAGAGGCAACTTGTAATAGAGGATAATGTATGTATGTATATGTATACTAAATTCTCAGCAATTATTAAAACGACTTTTGATGGATATATTTTAATATATAAGCGTCTATATTATTTAAAACGAACAACTACAATTTGTAAATCAAGTACAACAATGACCCGCTACAATGGGCAATGCGTCATCATTATTATAGTCTGCTAAATTGAACTCCACCACTAATAACTTACAAAATATAAGGAAATAGGAATTTTTACTAACTGAATACAAATACCTATAATTCATACAAATGTAAAGTATATGCCGGTGCACCACATAAGAAGCCAAAAAGTATAAGAATTCAAAAAGTATTTTAAATTCTTAAACAAATTTATATTAAATGCAGATGCGTATATTATATAATATTCATTCATTAAATTAGATTTTGTAAATTAAATCTTATACAGCCTATAAAACATCTAAATCCTAACAATTCGTTGCARCCATACTACGAGAGTAAACATTTGTCCTTGACATTTGTGGTTTGTCCATCACGACCGCCTACACGTACTGTAGCATTGGCTTGTACTGAAGAATTCGAAGCAGCTTGATTGCGCCGTTCCCGATCCGCATTTTCGTCTAATTCCATAATTGATAAAGCAAGTGCCCGCGCCAACGCTTCATCTTCCGTCTAAAGGGGAAGAAATAAATAAAATGAATGATAGTTAGGCATTTAGTAAGTAATTCTTATTGGAATTTATCAATTACCATATTTCCTTGAATATTTTGCACTTGTGTGCCAGTCGGTACTGCATTTCGTTTTGGCTGAGCATTGAACAGTGAAGTTGGCTTGTTTGTGCGACGATATTCAGCAGCAGTACTGCAATAGAAACGGATGTTTCTTTCAAAAAATATAATAATTTAAAGTACCAACTTACGCTGCTAAAGCACGCTTATCTACATTTCCACTCGTTGCACTGTTACATTCGTGATCTGCAGTGTGCCGATGACGCAAACAATAATTTTTTCTACATTCTCTACAGGTAACTGGAACAAGCTCCTTCTTTTTGCAGTTTTTATAGCTGCAACGGTTTGTATAAATTTTCTTTGTGTCGGATTTGCACTGTTGATCAATATGACGACCCACTGTTATATCGGGTTCGACACCTGGCGCTGTGGGTACTGGCTCCCCACACAATGGACAAATGGGAACTTGCATATCTTTACGACGTGGACCCGTACACGAGTGGTTATCATAATTAAAGTGTGTCGAACAAAATACCTTAGTACAGGAATCACATTTAAATGGCAGGAAATCTAAGCGATTACAGGTGRATTCGTTGCAGTGTTGACCGAGATGTGGAAACTCCATTTTGAAACTAAATGCCTACTAGGTTGTATGCTGCTATTTAAAGTATGTAACAATTGTGACCAAATATTCTAGACAAATCAGGAAACTTCCTTAAGATAATATGATGACTAAACAATAAAAGTGAAATTGTTTAAAACTCGAATGTCAAAGTGTTACTGTCAAAAACATATTTATTTTTCTCCTTCTTCTTCAACTTCAGAAAATTGTCATTCACTGTAAGCGACCACCTGTACAAATCGGTTTGTATTATGTTTTTGGTGCATTTGCCTGTATTTTTAAGGGTTAATGAAAAAATATATACCATACGGTAAACATTTGTATACAAAGTTTGCATATTAGATTTATAAGGAATGGATAATAACACAATATCGAACTTGGTAAAGAAATTAGTTTATTTTTACAGTTTTTTGTTTTAACAAATTATCCCCTTTAGATAACCAATTTCTTTTCAAGTGAAGAGCTTCTCATGAGTGGAATGGTCAGAATAGAGGATATTTTAGACAGTGTCCAATCAAGTTCTAGTTCCGAGTCCTCATCCAGTTCCGATGACTCCGAACGAGAGGAAACCGTCAAGGGTGACAATTTTTGTGATGTCATCAACAATTACAGCAGTAGTGAATTCAGGACCCACATGAGACTTCGACGTTCAACTGTAGAATTTTTAATTGGTATGGTGCCATAGTTAAAATATATATTATATGAAATGTTGTTATATTTACTAATGTACATATGTTTTATAGAGAAATATTCCGCTACTATAGCCAAAAGCACAAATCCTGGTGGCAGAGCAAGAGTGACGCCCAGAACTAAGGTGTATTTATATATTTGGTATATAGGCCATACAGTAACTTTTCGAGACCTCAGCAGATTATTTGGTATTTCAAATTCAACAGCTTGGCATATTATAAACACTTTGTCGTCTTGGATTATTTCAAGTGGGCATAATTTTATAAAGTGGCCACAAGGTGCCGCCGCAACAGAGGTAGAAAAGAAATTTAAGAACAAAAACGATATACCAGGAATAATTGGAGTCATCGGCTGTACTCACATACAAATAAAAGCACCAAACAATAATAAAGAAAATTATTTCAACCGAGCAAATACCTACAGCTTAGTGMTACAAGCAGTTGTTGATCCAGACAAAAGATTTACCGATTTATCATGTGGTGAACCTGGATCGATGAATTCCAGCAAAGTTCTACGGAGATCCAATCTGTTTATCAAATCACAGTTGGAGGGACAAGAATTATTTCCGAAGGACTACTTCTTATTGGGCGATTCAACTTATCCTTCTACTAGTTGGTTGGTATCTCAATTTAAAGACAACAAACTGACTTTAAGTCAACGACTGTTCAATAAATTACATTCATCTACACACCTAGTGGTTCTAAATGCTTTTAGTTTACTCAAGGCACGATTCAAACGGTTGCAGCATTTTTCTGAACAAATGAATTTATGTTTCATGGTGAACATTATTGTTAGTGCTTGTGTTCTTCATAATATATGTATAGACTTAGATGATATACTTATAGATGACTTTAAAGATGATAACTTTCAAAAATTAGACAACAATATAAAAGCAGGACTYATCGAAGACGATATTTATTTGGATAGACGCGATCTACTTTTTAAATATTTGCAAGAAAACAAAGTAATATGAGGATATAAACTAAATTATTTCAGAAAATCAACAATTTACAGAAATAGAATAGGTATTATGTATATAGTGAGTCAAGAAAATATTTTTAAGCAGGAAGCATTACAAAGTACTAAATAAATAGCAAACAAAATATATTATTTGTTTTACTACATATTTTATTTTCAAAAYAATTTAACCCTTTTAGAAAAACATTCACCTAACGTTTAATAAAGAGACTACTTTAAATACGCCTTCAACATCTCTAGTTTTTTATTTTCAACATCCTTAAGTACCTCAAGAATAGATTGATTTAGCCTTCTTCTCTCCATAATTTTATTTTCCGCCAACTTTTGTTTGATCTTTAATTTCTGCTCATAATAAATTTCACGAGCGGTTTTCCTACGACGACGTCGATTTGAAACTTGCGGTAACGATGCAGATGCAGACTGTGTTTGAGGTAATGGAGTTGGTACCGTTGGTGATTTCATAGGTGTATATGAAGAAGGAGAAGATGGTGGTGACGATTTAAGTTCTAGTTGTGGCGAAGGGGAAGATGGTGGTGATGATTTTATATGTAATTCCGGATAAGATAGATCTGGTATTAATACATTATGCGCTGTAAAAACGGTATCTGTTGGTGACATTGTAAAGGCATTTCCACTGTTTATGCCCATTTGAAGCCTGTGATCATTTGAACCGGAATCCATATCTCCAAAAATTTCTTCCATTTCTGCCATACATAGGGTGTTGTTTGGCGATACGCCGGTTTTGGCTTCATTTTCTTTCGCAGATTTATATGTGGAATGTAAACTCCGTATTTTGTTTTCCAATGTTATTACCGTTGCCGATGGATCCTATTTCAAATATTTTCTATTATTTATATAAAGCATTTATATGTAATTTTTTTTACTGTGAAGCCATCCGCTATCATGTCTTCCAAAACATGTGTATATGCCAACCTCTTTTTTCCGTGGTGAACAAACTCATCTTTATGAGCCAAATAACATTTTAGTAAGCTTTTTGTTTCGCGCACACTCCACCGTTTACGTTTTCTAAAATTTTTTATTATTATTTTTTTTTTATGTAGGCAATATATAACAAAATGATTCTTACTGCTTTTCATCGGAGGACATATTGTTCCTAGGTTCTTAAAGATGATTAAAACAAATCACTATGCAAGCTGCATAACTTTGTGTTCAAAAAACTTGAACGCGTAAATAATAAAACATGTAAACATCAACTCGGRTTTTTATCAGACTAGCGACAACTCGCCAAGTTACCCGACTTGACGCGTAGTGCAACCAAGTAACGTAATAACACTATTGTGACTGATATTATTAAACAATTTTAAACTAAAAAATCATTCGACAACTGAACATTCTCCCAAAAAAGAAGCCCATTGCAATATACAAAACTAAATAAAAATTAAAAAAATAAAAATTAGGAAAATTTTTGGAAATCGAATAAAAAATCAACAATATAATTCGTGTTTGCAAAGGTTAATAAATTGGTATTATTTTTTAACATTGCCACATTTTTAATAAGAACACCTCATTAATGTCAGCATCTGTCAAGCTAATCGTAATAAAAGCGTGTAGTTAAAGAAATGATGAAATCTTTTTTCAAAGTGTTAAAAAACTATTAATATCTTTTTATTTTGCTGTAATGTTGCCGAAATCTCCCAAACCAGCATTCTGGAAATTCATAAAAGGAAGTGCTAAAGTAATATTCATTGCAGAAGCAGTTTGCTTTGCAGCCTCCTACGGAGTTTATTATCGTATGAACACAAATCGTGGTAAGCGAAAAAATTTCTTACACAACATTAAATAAATGTTGAAGAACCACTAATTAAAGTTTTAAACGAAATATGAAAAAACAACATATAAGTCGTTTAAAATTGTTACACAATACGGGTTTGTTATTAAATTTGTTATTGTAAAAACTTGTAATATAAATGACGGCARTTTACGTCAAAGTCATATACAAAAGCAAGCACAATAAGAAGTCTGGTGTATAGTGGATGAATCATGACGGGTGCGCACAGTGTGGGTGACAATCGCAGACGCAAAAAAGTGTTGGTTGCTTAACAATATGTTTTTTCTTTGTTTTGAAATGCAGATTATTTTCGATTGAATTTTCTCAATATTCAATAGAATAAATTGCTTGCGAACAAAATCGAAATACAATATTTGAAATAATTTTTGTAATATACTTCAGAACATTTTGTTGTAAACGTTAATTTATATCCTTCATATTTATTCTAACTCCAATTATATATCCATACTTTCAGAGTTTCGCCACTATATCAACGATAACTTCCCATTTGCTCTAGATTACTACTATAAAGTGGGCGAGGTTTTGGGCAATAGCAACTTGAGGCAAGTCGATTCCGCAGTCTGGCGAGCTGAGAGCGAAAAACGAGAATAATCAAAACAATTTTGGTACATTAACGTTTTTAAAAAATTTATACTTCCACAAAACTATCACTAAGTCTTAAATTAGCGCTGGTGTAAAATTTATATATAATTATTTATATTTAATCACCACCATAATACAATTAAATTTCTAAATGGCAAGCAATCCGTATGTTAAATCTCTAATCTGGTTAGTTTGTTCAGGCGGCGTTGGCTACGGGCTTATGTTGCTTACCGAACCATCTGAGGAGAAACTAGAGCGCATAAAAGCCAYAGGAGGTCCAGCACATCTAACCAACGAAGAACTTAAAAAGTTACAGTTTATGCAACGTATGCGTGAGGCGGCTACTGGTGAAGCACCACCAATTTACATGCAGAAAAAGGAAAAGTAAACACAAAATCAGCACCAATTTGAAAGTGATTCTACGTTAACACATACAGCAAAATGAGCGCAAATTTACAAAACAGCAGCACTACCTTGAACAGTGGCGAGAATGCCGATACTAAGAAGGAAAATATATTGGAGCGTCTAAATAAGCGCAATAAAGAACGCCAAAATTATTTAGACGTGAAAATAGAGCAACGTAATAAGGAAAATGTCGAACTGGAAGGTACTGATTATTTTGCTCAAACATTTACTGAACGTGCGAGAGCAATAGAAGAACAAATACAAAATATTTCGCAAATATCCGCCGCTACAGATAGAACAACATCTAATAATGCGGATTTAACACGCATATTTGCCGATCTAACAATACAAATCCAAGAATTGCAACGTTATCTTACCACATCAACAATGTTTTTGACAGACTTTAAAATTAAGGCCTGTCAGAATACGCTTAATGACTTAAGTGKCAGCTGCGAAGAATGTCGACTACGGCTGATACCGAAAAAGAAGTTTGGATTCAGTGGAAAAAAAGTAGCCCCGAAGGTATTAGTCAATCCAAGAGTTGTGAACATTTCTACCGATAAAGTTGATATGTCAGAAAAATCAAAAACTGACAGCACTTCATTCACCTGGACGTTATCAAATAGAGAAAATGATTATATTTGCCTCGAAGGGGATGAACTAAATAATAAAGATATAACAATTTCTAATCTAAAAAATTGTTTTGTTGAGCTTCGTGGTCATGCAGGATCAGTACAAATATCACAAGCCATCGACTGTACAATCCTTTGTGGGCCAATTTCACGTTCGCTATTCGCTGAAAATTGCGAGCGTACAACGCTAGCTTTAGCTTGCCAACAATTACGATTACATTCTTCAAAYAATTGTCGCATATATTTACACGTCACATGTCGAGCTATTATTGAAGACTGTACGCAAATTGAAATAGCAGACTATAATTATAATTACACTACAATCGATGAAGACTTTCAACTGGCAGGCTTAGACAAAGCTCAAAACAATTATACAGATATCGCAGATTTTAATTGGTTGTCACCAGATGTACCGTCGCCTAACTGGACGCTACTCAAAAATATTCCCTTGCCTTCCTGGAATGAGCTGCGTAGCCAAAAGCAACAAAAAACGAAAGTTTTATAGTGTATAGYAAAGCACAAACGTCAACAAATGTCAGTAAATTGGCGTCGGACTTTTATATGGTTGACTCTAGCTTTGTTGCTACTAGTGTTGCTTCTTGAATATTTACCTTTGTTTACATCTGCTCTTAAAGAAAGGTTTTGTCTCTTGCAATTATCACCAGCAGCAACTCCAGTTAATAAGGTGGCATAATTATATACATACACAAAACTGTACATTTAAAGGGCAATGTTTTTTAATTCATATGTGGTATGCGTTGTAAAGATATTTTGTATGAGAATTAATTGAATGTAAATTGTTATATTGTAAGTGCAGGTTGGTTTTTTGGAAATGTCCTTGCTGTAAAAATTTAGACTGTAGGAACACTTTCGTTTTATTTACTAAATAAATGATCAATAAATTACTAATTAGTTAAATTGGAAATGTTTTTAATTGGGAAAGCGAAATRGATTTAAAGAATAGAATACATAGCATAACACATTAATAATAAATGTTTCGAAAAGGAAACACTTGGTAATTATTTTTAAAAGCATTTTATCAGACGTCCATGTTATCAGCGTTCAGAGAATACCCTCTATACTATACTTATGCACACAAAACCCTTATTTATTCAAATTCAAATTTGGACATCTCAATACGTAAACAAATTAAATTTAAAGTTTATAAATTTCACTCTCACTATAAATTCAGAAAAATATCAGGAAAGTAAGAAAAGGTCATTAACAAGCAATTTATATATAATATTCATGAATGAAGCAGGTACGGTACTTTTGGACGATTATATAAAAGTAATATTGCATGGAAAWAAATCGCTTGTAATATGTAGTAATATTAAATTATATAAAAATAGTAATTAATCAGTTTTGTGGTTATTATTTGTTACATATTTATTTTTCAAATGTATATGATACATATTACTGCCTTATAAACATTTTAATTTTATTACTGTTTTCACTTGTAGGTAGTTTTTACGTATTCTGTTTGTCGTTGTAAAGTATTTTGATTTCCTTTTCATTCTTATGTTATATTCTATAAGGATAATATCTACATACACTACTAAACCAAGTCAATACGTAAACATGTGACTCATACAAGCACTGGGTAATTAAGAAAAAAGGCTAGTAACATTTAAAACTCGATGAACTTGAGGAGAAACGTAGAAAAAACACTACAAAACTAAACACATCCATTGTATGCTTTGTTAAATTTTAGATGAACATTGTGCGAAAAACAATAATTAAAGAAAAAATTAAAATTTGTGCAAAACAAAAATAAATGCGGAACAGTGCGAATGATATATAGCTAAGCTATTTTTGCTCTATAAAATGCTGCTTTTCTGCTCTCTCCATTATTTCGATTTCCTATTAATTCTTGGTAGTGTATAGGTATGTAAGTAGATGAGAATTTGCACGCTTGGTTTCTAGGACAGTTTTATATAATGAATGTCAGGAATATTATTTATTGCATTTTCAGCTAACCAGCATGGTTTAGTGGCCGAGTTAAGGAGTTCGGCTGCGTCATTAAGCGTATTTCTTCTCTGAAAAGTATATAACTATTATATTAAAAACGGAATTCGCAATATACTTTGGAATTATTTACTTGAGCTTTTTAGGCAGCCACGTCGTATCCAAACGATGATTTATTACAGCTAAAATTGCCAATGTACGTAGAGTAGGCTCAAAGTCTAAGAGATGTGTGTCGTTATTGTCTATTAATAAGCTGTCATGAGGATGGGGACTGAAAAGTGTGATGGTTCAAATAAAATTATTTAGGATGACTTATTTTAAAGGAAACAGTTTAAATATTAAAATTTGTATCACTCACCTGGTGCCACCGAAGAGAAACATCCTTTTATCTTTCACTATACAAACTTGTCGTCGTCGCGCAGTTGGTGGAAGTCCAAAAGGTTTTATAAGATTCCAACAATTGGATTTTGGATCAAATGTGTAAAAATCATTAAAATGCTGTTCCAAAATACCGTTATAGCCACCAAATATATGAATGAGGCCATTGTAGATAACTGTAAAAAATTTAAGTTAATGACGTTCACATGGTTTGAAAAAAATATATATCGTACACATTGAATGACTTCGCCTACCCACCGGCACTTTACCAGTGGTGGATGGTCTATGCCACATTTTAGTTTTCATATCTAAAAACACTATCTCTGGGCAGTACATTTCTTCTTGACTATGATACGGACTGTGCTTATCGCCACGGCCCCCAAAAATGTACATCCTGTCATATATGGAGGCTGCGGAGTGAAAATCGCGAAAGGACGGTGGTGCACCGAATGTTTGTATATATCGCCACTCCATTGTCCGAAAATCAAGGCAGTGTACATCGCATGAAAATTCATTTATTTCCTCAACAAATCCTCCAAAAATATACATGCAATCGCCGATTACACATGCTGAATGACCATCACGTGCGCCTGGTACAGCACCTTTCACATCAGGACGAGACCAGCTTATAGTTTGCGGATCAAAGCAATATAAAATATTGCATAATTGATCATCGTTACGACCACCCCACATAAAAATTTTATCCCCGTATGAAACAGCTGTGTGACCATATCTGAAATTTTATAATATATTTTTTTGTTATATTATATGTATGTATTATTGTACTCCACTTACCGTTGAAACGGCACTTCAGGATACTTCAACGGCAAACCATTTTCATCACGCATTTGAGGCACGAGCGACCAGCGCAACGTATTGGTGTTAAGCGCATGAACATCTATACATTCGTTTAAACGATAATCGTCTCCAGTGCAGTAACCGCCAAAGGAGTAAATTCTATCACCAACACAAGCACCTGCATGATTCACTCGGCGTGGTCCCCCATCTAAGTGAGTTATCCATTGCATTTTGAATATAATTAGCTTTGAAAATTAATGAACTTGTGTCCAAGTCGATAACAATAAACAGCTATCTCTGATTTGATTAGATAGATGYCGCAGAATGAATAAATTATCATACAGTTCAATGTAGTTAATACTACCTTCACTTTCTGATATGAGCAAAGGCTTGAAATTCCGTAATATACAAGAAGTGTTAAACTATAAATAAATAAAAGCGACATGAAGGTCAGCGGCAAACAGCGAAAYTTCAATTAAGTTGTTTATACAAAAATTAAGTAAGCTTGGGTTGCGAAAATGGATAGGCAACCTCGGTTTAATAGCTCACYTACCTTTTTTTAAATAAACTTCAGAAATACAATTATAATCTCCAGTGTTTAGTAAATTATCACAGCCAGTAACAACAAATCAAAATACACTAGACTTGCTCCTTTACAGCTGATTCGCTTCCTTTATGTATTCCTCTGCGTATCTTCCGTTATGTATTTAATGCCCTTGTAATTAGTTTTCACTTTCTGTGTTCAGAAGTTGCAACAACAAATCCATACCATTGGAATATCCGACAATCGATCAAATAATTTTCTTTTGTTCACTTATTCTCCAAAATTTTGAAATATACCAATATAAAGCAACGACTTTAGCAATAAAACCCCTTTTTTAACCAAACATCAGTCTTTCTTGGGGTTTGTAATTATTTTACACTCTTTCCACTTTTATCTTTTTCTTCTTGCTTGACTTTTACCATTTTCTTGTCACTTTTGGTTTTGTTTATTAAAATTGCATTGTTGCTTTTGTAAATCAAAATTTGTTATTAATTATTATTATAGCACACATATATAATATATATTAATAAGTTTTAAAATTAAATTATGGATTTTTTAAGAATAACTCTGTAGTTTGCGATAACTTTTATTAGAATATAATTTAATATCCCAGATAATAAAGGGGGAATTTTTCGTAAGTTCAACAACATTGTATTTATAAGAAAATTCGTGTTTGTATGCCATCAACAAATGAGAATTGTCAAAAATAAATTCTAAACAAATGGACTAAAAATAATTTATCGCTAGTTTCTTTTACAAAGTATTATAGCAAAAAAATTTAAATTAAAACGAAATTATCGCTTCTACTGATACAATATGTCGAAACCTCAAACAATGCTACATTATCAAAACAGTCAATATACGCGTGTAATGAATTTAAAGTATAAATCAAAGTATAAACGCCTAAAACGTCAAATTAAAAATTTTGTATTTGTAAGTACTATGTATTTGGTTGTCTTATAAATAATTAAATATGCATATTTTTAGGAAAATGCTGCGCTGTGTGATGAGGTTGCACAGGTCCAAGCTGATTTGGCAACTGCCCGCGAGGAACGTCGTTATTTGATTAAACGACTTATGCGTCATGAGGGTATTGATAGTTTAGAACAACAGCAAATGGAACAGCACGATATTCCCAACTCGCAACAAAAAGGATCAAGCAAAGCAGTTAATTCGGTGCCCAAAAAACGTGGTCCCAAGAAACGTTTACCAACGCCGCAGGGGCAAGAAAAAGTCGACAGACGTTATAAACCACGCGATAAAGTTATTTTAGACGCCAGTGGAAAACCTATGTATCCAATCAATCTATGTAATATACTTATACACTCACCTGGTGAGATTATACCCATAAATCCAAATTTCCACACAAGTAACTGGATATATCCAGTTGGTTATGTTGCCACCCGTATATATGCCCACCCAAAGGATCCACAACGAAAATGTGTTTACACCTGTAAAATACTTAACAATGCTGGAATGCCACAATTCCAAATAATACCAGACAATGATTTGGACAGTGTTTTCTTTGGCGAAACAGCTAACATCTGTCATAAGGGTTTATTGGAAACACTTCAGCGTACATTAGCCGATGTGGTTCAGTTGCCGCTGCAGGTGCAAGGCGAAAAGTTTTTCGGACTCGCTAATCCGACTGTAAAATCTCTGCTCCAAATGGATCCTGGTTATGCACAATGCTCGAATTTTCGAGGGTTTCTAGATGAAGGAGATACAAATGGTAACGGAAACTTGTCTCTTCTTGAAGATAAAGACCCAACAATGAGTTTTGATGCATTACAAACACTGATCGCCGTATCAACGTATCACAATATGCCTGAGGTCAAAGATGAACCACCAGATGAATTGTTAGACTTGAAATAAATGCAAGCGCAYGTATAAAAGTTACTTTGAAAGAAATTTATTTAAATCGTTTATCTCACGTGTATATTTATGTATATTTATACATGTACATATAAAACGTACAACAGTAAAAAAAAATTGTCCGATTCATTACATTACTAAATATATTGAGAATTTTATACCTAATATGCGATATGCTTACTAAATATGTAAATAAAAATCAGCTTCTAAAAATACAAATGTATGTAATTGTCATAAGTGTTATAAGGGAAAATTACTTGTATTAGCGAAACAAGCACATAAAGCGTTTCTTATCTTAAGCTTATGTATGAATATACATAAAACGAAACTAAAAGATATTGATCACACTTTAAAGTCCATTTGGATATAATTCAGTTGTTTGTCTTCAGCAGCCGATACTTTCAAGTCAGTTTCGTTTTGTAGTCGACAGCTGTGTGGTTTAATTTTTTGATTTTCATTTTTGTCTACAAGTGTTCRTCTACCTGCGACGAACTGTTTGTGTTGAATGTTGAGATGAGCTGGTAGACGATGCGGCTCTCGGCAAAATATGTGTAGGTGTAATTGTTGGAACCGTATTCGCGAACGGAGCGCGATCGGGAAAAGCATTTATGGTGCGCATTGCTGATGGTATCCGAGGTTGGTTTGGTGGTTGTTGGTAACGATATTGGCTTGAGCTTGCCGACGGTGAATGCGAGTTGCGTGATGARTGTTGGCGTTGTAAGTTGTAAGATTCATCTGGCATTTCATCAATTTGGCGACTGCGATTACGTCCCAAGTATTCATTTTCTATATGCTGCTGAATCAAATTRTGCTCTTCTAATTGTTTTCCTTGCTGTATTAGTAGTTGCTTTTTCTGCTGGACTAATTTATCTGCATTCAATTTGGGGGGACCTCCACGTGTGAATATCAAGTTAGATGTAAATATCACAGGCGAAAAAAGGCGCATTGAAAAATTACTGAAAGAAATATAAAGTATGAATTYATTAAATACATATAACAGTAAATAAGAATACAATTTATACTTACGCTGCATCGACAACAGGTATTGCTTCATTGCCACTCAAGATGAAGAGTGGAAAAAATATAGAAAATATGCAGCTGCTCACAATAATTGAATTGGTCATGTTGGTTAGTACGGTTAAAGGTATTCCAAAACCAAGGAAATATGGCCAGTTATTTTCGATATAATTCAATCGACGGTGTAGTTCCCAACCCATGTTGAACCATTTGTATTCGAARCAATATAATGAATAGAGTAAACTCAGATGTATAAAACATAGAATTTCACCTATATACGGTATGGGTAATAAATTGACGAGCATACTTTGTATGAGAAACAAAACTTGCACCAAGAAATTAAAGAGAAAATCTGCTAATAATTTGCTGAAATTTGGTATTAGCTGTGGCTTTCCCTTCCGTATACGATAGGCGGAGTTTGCGATCTCCGCAAACCACAAGGAGCTTACAAACTTACTAAGTAAAAATATGGGTAATAACCACGTCATACCAAAAATTACAGATAAAACGGGTTGTAARTAACTCCATAAATATGTAAAATTGGATGGATCGTCGCTGAAAAACAAACTTATTGCGAACTTGACAATTGGCAAAACAAATTGATCAAATAAAACGATACTAAGCCAAGCRAAACCACCATTCAATAGGCAACATTTTAGTACTTGYTTAGCGATTCTCTTTTCCCTGTTTGGAAAAAGTGTATAATTTAGTCGAAAGTTTTCAAAGATTATACACAATTTTTACTCACGGTTTTTTAGTAGTCAATTCATTGTTATCTGAACGTTTAAATATGGTATTAATGCTTCGTTCGTCCGGAATATCCCTTTGTTGGATTAACTCCTTTAATTCCTCCCTCGCCATTGCAGCTGCTGACGAAGGTGTCGGTGATGGGTTACGACGCTGCTCCCTTTCTCGTTTCCGCCGTCGCCTTTCAGCTTCTTTTTCCTCATTTATTCTATTTATCTCTGCATCTATATGCCATAACAATCCTATGCCTCTTATACTATCCCAAAGGCCGTAAATTATTCCAAGCGAAATGTTCTGTTATCAAAGAAAATATTTTACATTTTTAAGAAAAATTTTTCTTTAAAGATATTTCACTTGCCTTTATCGCTTCCATCATTTATTTATTTAATGGCAGCGACGAACTCAATGGCAATTTTCAAGTGAGCCGGTGCGATATTAAGCCTTCAAATATTTCCGCATTTAGAAAAATGTACTAACAACTGCACAACGATTATTATTTAATATTGAGTTAATTATGCAGTAAGTAAATGATCAAACGAAATGTATTTCTATATTGGCTTAGAGCTCCTTCAGGTCAATCTGGGCGAACTGACAAAGGAAAATAAAATGACAGCTGTTTTTGTTTTGCTAATATACTTCAGAGTTGCCACTGTTCACAGACACAGAATTGGTTTGAAGTGGCTGCTTTTCTTAACCCGTAAGTAGGTACCTACACCGATAAACAATGACTACAGTTTATAAAATTTACTAATTATATGAAATAATTAAGTAATTGTAAGCAAACTTATTTACACATACCCAAAACTACTTTCTTATGTTCAAGACGAAATATAAAGGAAAGGGGAGCTTGTGAAACTTATCTGGAAATACCAAAAAGGGTGCATATCCACGATGATTATMACAATATAAATATGAGTCAGTTAATACCCGTAGATCCTATTTGACCTTCCCATCGTAATACAAAATATATATATAAAATAACAATTTTCGTTATATAATTTATAAATGCTTCGAAATGCAACTCTGTGAATGTACAAATATGACAAGCAAAACAAAATTAAATTCGAGCCAAAGTCAACGAAGATGGTAAATGATAAATTAAAAGAGAGGCAATAAAAACTGGTTATAGTAGACAATTTTAGCTGCATCATAAATAATAATTTTAAATATATGTATATTATTGGTTGGAATATTTTTAAGTTATTTTMTTTCCCAAAAACCCCGTCTCATTATTAGGTGAGTAGTGATTTTACACATTTTAAATTTATTACGATAGCAATAATATTTGTACAAACATATGTATGTATAACATTTTACTATTYAATGGCTTATTGCGTTCTTTGATTAACTAATTAAGTATGTCTCCTTTTTTGCATATAAGTATATTTGATTAAAAATAGTATTCGTAAAAAAAAAAATACAAACAAAAACACAGGTAATTTTGAAGCAGAATTTCTTCTGCACTTAATGGTGTTGAAATCAATAATTTGCATTTTCATAAACCTAGTTACGTACATATGTGTGTATGTATAATATGTTCATATGAGACTAAGAGAAACTGCCGTTCCCAAGTCCAACTGTTATATTAGAATAACCAGGAAATACTCGCATCTATGGAAAGTTGTGCAAGAGGAAAAAGTTTCTTATAGTATTCCAGGTATCCTTTTTCGCTTACAAATATATATATATGTATGTATATGGAAATATAGCCTACTTGTTGCGTTTCTGTTTGTACACTTTCGTTTTTTTTTTTTATTTCTGCTGTACTTTTATTGACCTGACACCTTCATCATTTTGTCTCTAGTATTCATGACCATTTCTTAAGTTCGCAGGTATTTACATAYATACATATGTACATACATATTAGTTTCCACGATTTTAGTTGGGACCTATATACATATGCATACCGCATTGTCTTTTAATGGCAAATGTTTAGTTTATACTTGAATCTGTCCATTTGGTTTAGAAATCGAAAAAAAATTTTATTGCGCACTCAACAGAAATCTTTCTTGGAAAAGAGTTGGACTCTATGATAGAAAGTACTATAACGGTGGTAAACAACACCCTTGTTAATTGTAATACCTTAAAAGACCCGGTTTTTCAACTCAACTCTATTTTGGTTGAAGTTTCGAAATTCGGTATTATCGCTATCAACTCTATCCGTGAACAAGTTTCGCTTGAAGTGTTTTTAAACTTTTAACTATTAGGGGTTTCACATAGTCTCWTRGAGTTATAAGTTATAATGATCCGAAAACATAGTTGATTTGAAAATATGGGTTTAATACAACGTGTGGCTCTAAGAAGCCACCGCTTTTGCGGTAACGAAGAACGGTCTTGCATTGGACCTGGGTAATAAAACGTGACAATGCATAATATTTCGCATTTTTGTGGTGAAGTGTGTAGCATAAATACAAAAGTTATGGTAATAAGTGTTATGAAAACAAATAAATTCTTTTTACCCATCCACACAAAAAATTGGTATATAGTTTAGATGTTTATTGCATATGTATAGGTTAGTAATTTGTTATGCATTTGTATGATTAATTTTTGAACATGTCTACGCAAATTCTATTTATTTAATTTTAATTCACTGATAACATTATTATTTATACTATATACATACAWGATTGAAAGACTATATAAGTCGTTACAGAGGTAGAGGAAAATTTTAGTATTTTCGTAAGGGTAGTGGTTTTCAAGTCATAAAACTTAGCCGGAATCTTTCAAAAATAATACCGAAAATTTAACATATAAAACATAGAATATTGGCATTGTGTTCATCACGACGCTCTCATGGAATATGGAATTTTAGTGATAATGCCTTTGCTGGCGCGAGCCAGACGGACGAAAGCAACTACCCTAGTTTATATTTTATGTGTTTTTCACAAACAAATTTCCACCAAAAATATACTTTTGTAATCAGTATTAGCTATGAAGTGTTGTGCTGTGTAAATAGTAACTAACTATAAAGGAAACGTCAAACACCTATGATTGCATCTGTTTTTCATTTGTTGTATGTATGTAAGTAGCTGGGGAATTTTATGTACACAACCACCATTCATATATGTATGTGGTTGTATATAGTACATACATATATTTTCAACTTCTCGTTACTTATTCTAAAAGATTKAAATATTTTTATATTTCACATTTTACTTGGTTTTGTAGGTTTTATTATGCTGCTTAGCTCATATTGCCATAAATTTTAAATTACAGAAATAAAGTTTTCAAAATTTAATAAAAAAAGTTTTCTTATTAAATGTTATCGTGGTTATTTTATTTTAAACTATGCATATGTAATTTCCGCCTTCGCTAAAAAAAGGTCCTCCATTGCTGCTGTGATTCCGAACTTCTCCGTGAATGGAGTCTAAAAAATATATATAACATAAGATCGATAAAAAAAAACTTACATAATGACGACGTTTTAAAAACTTTAATTTGGGTTGCCAAACAAAAAACTGAAATGTTATATGGTGCACTATATACTGAACATACAAAAAAAAAGTGATCAGATGATTTGTTTCTGMGCAATCACTGATTATCGTATAGTATTTAGGGATAAACTGAGGCAAGCAAAGCGAGCCGTTATAACAACAACAACAGCGGGTACATTATAGTTGTAACTCAAAACTATTTTAGTTATTGATTCAAAATTTCAGTATGATATTTTTAAAGCCTATCAAAATATAAAAAAAAAGTAATAATTTTTTTCAAAGAATGAAGCCACTATTTAATTCAAATCACGTTCTTTCACTATTAGGATTTTCAGATCGGGAAGGGCATACATATGTATCTGTATAACTTTTGGCAAACTTAAATTACATTTTTGCCTTATATAGTCATAAACACTTTGTCGTAACGAACAAGTATTCATAACTAAGTATAACATATCAGTAACATTCCGTCAATTTATTTTGGGAAAAGTTATATATTGCAAAAATAGAAACAAAAACGAAAATATACGGATATTCCTGGCTAAAATAAAGTTTATTTMATTTTTAGCGGTAAATTACAAGTAAATAAATATTGGAAAATAATGCTTGGAATAAATAATTACTTTTTGATACTTTTATCAGTTTTTGTTCGCTTGTCAATAACACACAAATTATTAGAAGGTGTCTTAACAAAATTGTGTACTTTTTAGTTTTTGTTTTCAAAGAATAACAKCAGTCAAAGAACTCTTGTAATCCCTTTCATGGACGCAGGAATTTACATTTATGAATATACATGTGTTAATATAAGTTATTTATATTGGATAATATGTATTTATATGTTTACAAATATTGTTTATGCCAATATCTACAAATTTGTACKTGCAACCTGTCCAACGCCTAAATCGACGACGTCAGCAAGAAATTAGAAGCTTTTTCGTAAATCACATGTCCTAGTAAACCGATACACACGCTCACTAAAACCATAAACAGTGACGCACATCCGAGTGTATGTAAATATGTACATGCATACATGCACACTTACGAGTGTGTGAATCATAAGTGAAGTTTTATATTTTATTTAATTTCTTTTGGATTTGTCTATATATTTGCTTTTATTTRTGTTGAGTAGTACTTGACTGGCGCGCTGTTATTAACTCGGCTATAATCGCGTAAGCGGTGTCTACGCCATTGAAGAAGRAGTACTTGATTTTGTAGKKCATATCATTATATGAATATTTGTAATTGTAAGCAAACAATGGTTATATGACTACAATATGATCATATTCTTTTTAAAATTGCATTATATAAATTATGAACATTGTCTTTTAATAAAATGTCAATATATTTAATTAATATAGAATATTACTTCTCTCTTTGCAGTTAACAACGAGGTTTCGTCGCGCATTGTGTAAAATATATAATACCAAAATAGTTGTGCTCTCCCGTTTTTTTTTTATAGTGCGCGTTGTCGTTCCTTTGTTCGTGCCCCACATATGTAAACGCATGTGTATACAAATTTAAGTGTTAGCGCGCTGCCTTTGACTCGATCATCCAGCAAAGTCTGTATTATATTATCGAAAGGAAATAATACGGGTCTAAGTCCGATAAGTGTACAATTGTGCCGTTTAGAAGTGGAAAGCATATTGTGAAGCRTAAACAAACCTATTCGTTTACATATGCATGCTGCCAAGCGAAGCAAAACATAACATACACAGATAGCCAGTCTCCAGAGCGGTCACAGTATCAAGTGCGTGACATTAACAACTCCATACATATATTAATAGTTATTTTCAAGGAATGGTTATATCTTTCTTTTTCGTATAATTTTCTAATTATTGATTTGTGCGGGCTTTATTGTTTGTGTATTAATGTTGGTGAATTGCAATCTCAGAACAATAACGCCCCTCATCACGCTCTAAATCAACGAATATAAATGAACAATTAATATAATAATCAGTTGTTAAAATAAGTAAACGCATAGAAGTCGGCCGTAGAGGCATTGATAAGAATTAACAAATCGGCATAAACACCAGAAGCGAATATAAAACAACGAAACAACCCTCTTCCCTCTAGGAAGTAGTAGTAGTTTGGAAGAAAAAACTTTGCAAACGTTAATTGATTGCAACATCAATACGCTCTACTCTYGACACAGTCGAGATAAGTGCTTACAGCTGTGCACATCACAGCTGGAAATATTGCAATCGAACAGTTGCAGTTAAGTTAGCGTGCTGTCGCAGTTACACGAACGTGTCTCACTATTTGTGCAAAGATAATCCAAAAATAAATCTATTGTGAAAATTTGTATAATTCAATTAATTATTAATTTAATACAAAAGTGCGCAATTAATTAGAAGAAGGTAAATTCGCGTAAAAATGCCTACTGCAACAGATGATGCCCTGCCAATAGTGGAGAATGAGGAGGCACGTCCACCATCGCCTGCCTCAGTGGCACGGCGCAGTCCTCAGGACAACGAGTTGGATCTACAACCCAGTGGTTGTGGTTCGTCGATGTGCTGCAACCCTACTAGCGGCGTGCATCGTTTCATTGCCTTGATTTTTATGTGCCTGCTTGGATTTGGTGAGTGGAACAATTGTTACTATATTTCTTAAACGATTAAAAAATAAATACATATAMATTCATATATWTTTACACATACAAATATACATCAATCAAAAKTCGACTTTAAAACACAAAACAAGCCTTTAGTCGGTCAACTGTGTCGTTTTTTGAACGTTCTGCTTGTGACTAATACTTTTTTTGCCTTTATTTTTGCTTTGGCGAATATTGATAAGAAATTAATGTGCCATATTACGTGCCTTCCTACTTGCTAGGTTTGCAAAATCACATTTTTCCGTTTCGCCACTTAATTAAATTCCGTTTTGTTTTTTTTTGGGTCGACATGGATCAGTGACAATATCGTTGGCTTAATCGGCGTTTTCCAATTGATTCTAACAGTATTTGTAATACTACTTTATTGCAACTACTATTAAAAACAAAAATAAACGAAGTTTTCCTCAACCATTTTCCATAAAATTTGGAATCAGCACAGTAAATAGTAAAAGATTTTCTTACTTCCTCGGAATCACATCAGGATTAACAACCATACGAGTATTAATATACACATACGTATGGCGTATAGATATCTATGTATATAATGTAAGTCCAGCTTGACMCAGAGGTTGTCATGCCTTTGGTTATGACAACTGATAACTGCCCGTCATAGCAATCTCCATTTAATTCAAATGGACCGCATAATGCTTGGCGAATGAAATGATAAAATAAAAAATGTTTGACTTGAAAGTGCTCGTTTGCGTCCGAATACAATTTTAATTAAAATACGAATAAAAATATCAAAAACATATACATGGATAATTATATTGATAATGTCTGTGAATTGTAGATTTATGGGATTTTAAGTATCTCTCGGCGCGAGCTCGTTCAATAATCGTAAACATACATACATACATACATACATATGTTTTAATGCACGTTTTTTCAACCGCAATTATTCGCACCAGTCAACTTACGCTTTTGTGAAGTTTGGAGAATATCCAGACAAACTGCATATAGAGATAAAAAAAGTATCTTTCAAGGAGATAACGAAAATATAAKAAATAATAGCCTTTTAACATTATGAAGACCTTCAAAATCACTTAATTTTGTGGTTGTAGCGGCAAAAAAAACATTCCCGAAGTAATTCARAGGAATATTGCCGGTTTCGATCGCTTGATTTTGAACAAATTGGCTTGAGATTTTAGGGATGCGTTCCCGCTCAACATACATTTTATCTTCAGAGGACGTAATATTGACAAAAGTCACCCATCTGCTACCATATTCGCCAGATGTGCCCTCCTGCTTCTTTTTCCTGTTCCCAAAACTCAAACATGTGCGCTCCTTTGAACGCAGCATGAGGCAATTGACTTTCTTCTACTAGTACGTAAAAAAGTAGAGGTTTTATAAAAAAATGCTTAAGTCTATTCAAAATTGGTGTTCAGTGTTAATAATAAGCAAAAATAGAAGCATGCGGGCTGCACGCATAGCAAATCAAATCAACTTTAAAAACCTAAGTATACGCTTATAAGACATTTTCAACGCACAATTTTACTAATCTTCCTCCTTTAACTTCTAGGTTCCTATTTTTGCTACGACAACCCCGGCGCACTACAGGAGGTATTCAAGCATGATCTCAACATCACCACCACCGAATTCACACTCATCTATTCCATCTACTCGTGGCCGAATGTGGTGCTCTGCTTCATTGGYGGTTTTCTAATTGATCGCGTCTTCGGCATACGTCTCGGCACAATCATCTATCTATTCATTTTACTTATTGGTCAATTGATATTCGCCTCGGGTGGCCTTTTGGGCACATTTTGGTTAATGATTGTGGGACGTTTCATATTCGGTATCGGTGCTGAGTCATTGGCTGTGGCACAAAACAATTACGCTGTGCTCTGGTTCAAGGGGAAGGAATTGAATATGGTGTTCGGTTTGCAGTTGTCGGTGGCGCGTTTTGGTAGCACTGTGAATTTCTGGGTCATGCAACCGATATATGACTATGTATCGAAATTCTATACGGATCATAGAGCAATTGGTGTGGTGTTGTTGCTGGCGGCCGGCACATGTGTCTTGTCACTTTTGTGTGCCCTAATTTTGGGTGAGTAGAATTACCATGCAGGTGTACCATATGCTTTTGGTACGGTACAAGGTACAAGTTATTAACTGCTGTTGTATTCTGATTTGTAGGCTGGATGGACAAACGTGCCGAGCGCATTTTGCAACGTAACACCAATCCTTCCGGTGAGATTGCAAAGCTCAGTGATGTCACTACATTCAAGGTCAGTTTTTGGATGGTCTCAATTATCTGCGTGGCATATTATGTTGCCATCTTTCCATTCATCGCTTTGGGCAAGTAAGTAGCTGCAATCTTACTTTTGTTCTTATTTTTTAGAAAAAAATTATTTTATTTTTCAGAACTTTCTTCATGCATCGTTTCCACTTCACACCGGATCAAGCTAATAACGTCAATTCCATTGTGTATTTAATCTCGGCTATTGCTTCGCCCGTTTTCGGCTTTGTTATCGACAAAACCGGTCGCAATGTCAGCTGGGTATTTTGCGCAACATTCACCACAATTGGCGCACATGCGCTGCTTGCATTTACACTTCTTAACCCTTACATTGGCATGATCATTATGGGTCTGTCGTATTCCATGTTGGCCGCTAGCCTTTGGCCACTAGTTGCTTTGATCATTCCCGAGTATCAATTGGGCACAGCTTATGGCTTGTAAGTAACGATACATAAGTTACTTATCACACGCTTTATGGCATTTTTTTTTTACTTTTCAACAGCTGTCAGTCTGTGCAAAATCTTGGTCTGGCCGTTATCACCATTGTTGCTGGCATGATTGTCGATCGCAGCGACGGCAATTACGTTTGGGTTGAGCTCTTCTTTATGGGTTGGTTGACAGGTCAGTTATATTTTTTAATTATATGTATGTTCAATTAAATTTATTTCCTTTGCCTTGCAGTTGCTTTAATTTCCACCTGTGTAATCTGGGGCTATGACAAGAAGGTGAAAGGTAACCTGAATATGACGCCAGCACAACGTGTCCAATATGCTAGCGCAATGTATGTGAAATTCTAATGAAATGAAAATGCAAACGCAAACAAGTACATATTCAAATAAGATTTTTGTTAATCAAATACGCTGAACACCTACATTAATGTGGCCACATTTTTACAGACGTGCTGCAAATCAGGATAATGGTGTGTACTCTAGTGATCAGGAGCCGCTGCTGGATGATTAAAAAGTATGCGAAAACAGTAGTTTCGGCAAGCAACAGCGTGAGCGTGAGTGCTAGAGAGAGAGAGAGAGAGAGGGAGAGAGTATTAGAACACACAGATTACAGGGCGTGCTTGGCTGATGGAGGCTGTAATTTGCAGTAGGCCAAACAAAAAACACTAATCAACAGCAAATAATCATTGTAGTTATTATAATTGAAACAAAATTGATTTTCGACGTACCACCAAATAGCCTATTGGCGCATATCACTACTAACCTATATTCATCTGCATATTTAACGCGATTCCTCAAATGCACTTATAGTGTTGTTGCTTATGCTTTACCTATTGGTGATTTTTTTTTTTTGATTTTTTAATTTTACAAATTTTAAAAAACTTTTATCGATACATTTACAATTTAGTTAAAAACCACATTTTACAACATAACCAATTTATTTTTTAAGCGCAAAACAAACAATTTACCCTATGCAATATATATTCTTTATTTAGAAACTAATAACGGCGTTTGCAACAAGATACAACATGTCAGATCGAAGCTGAAGCTGTTGTAATGTTTTCAATATTTGTAAACACTAGTATGTGTATTTTAYAAGCATTTGGCATTTCTTTAGCAAATAATTTTTAGGCAGCAAAATTATGTAAATTTCCAACAAATAAGAAATAAAATTTAAAATAAAGACAACAAACTATTTAGATAGTAACATAAAGCAAAATTTTGTGAGCGTGTTAACTGTTTGCCGTCACTGTTGATGCAAATTTTAAATATATGGCTTTTAGTGCAAAAATTAATGTTGTAACATAATGTTAACTATTTCTCTATATTAGCAATGGAATCGCTTCGAAGTGTGTATTTATTGTTGACTTTTAAATGTATATGTGTGTATTATGCGCATTAGAGAAAAAAAAATATATACTATATACAAGTAAACATAAAATAAACGATAATACAATAAATCTCTCACAAATATCATAACTAAATATTAATATAAAATATACGCAACTAATCAATTATCATATTTACAAATATACATACAAACATATATCATAGAAATATTTATATTTTAATGCTATAAGTGAATGTTGAATTTGGCTGCGTGCAGACGAGTGTGCGCGGCTGCGGATGAGTTGTTATGTGATTTAGCAAAGGGCCAAGAATAGAGAACAAAAARAAAACAAATATATACATACATATATTTAAAATAACGATGTATAAGGAACTGTAATGTTTACAACCGAATAAATAAAACGCAATTAAGCTTACACAAGACATTATTGTTTGAATTTAACACTTTAACTAGAAATCTGCAATGAAATGTTTTTTTGTGTTATATATTTTCACTAAAACTATTTTTATTTTCTTTTGTAATATTYAAGGTTTAATTTATATATATAACACTCTTTCACACTTTTTGATTTTGCTATACGCTAAATAAATTAACTTTGCATTGAATTTTGTAACATACAGAAGTCGGAGACTATAAAGTACATGCATATATACGTAAATGATCAACAGGCGATAACATCCATAATGTCCATATCCATGAGAATCAATCACTAAGTTTTTGAGACATCGATCCCAAGCCATACGGACGTCATTTTCTCTTCAAGAAGCATAGCATATAGCCTACCCCACGAGATGAACGAACCCATGAAGTTCTTGTGCTTTTTATTTGAAAAGATATCTACGAAATTTGGTATGGATTACTGCTAATAATGGTACAATCTCCGAACAAATGTTCCTATCGATCCTTGCATTTTTTTTGTTTTGGATCCATTACCCGAAACATTTTGGTGGAATACTGTGCTATTCTTTTTCCCATATCAAAAAATTACTTATTTATTTGGTTTTAATCAAAGTAACTTGAAATAGTTTATATTAATTATTTAATCTTTTTTATCATTTTCTCTTAAATCTCTTTAATAAATAAATCGTMAAAGATTTACACCACTCGTAAAAAAAATTGTGGCGCAAAAGCTGTACGCATAACTTTATTTAATTTTAAGTCTTGAAAACATTATAAGCATTTATTTACATCGATATTAAAGTCACCCCAAACTAATTTTATTTAATTTTTCTTTTCCCGAAAGAAAATCATTGAAATGAGTGATTTTTTAACGCACTTTCATGTAATTCTTTAATATATTTCTTTTACTTTTTATTATGCACTTTTATTTATTACTTGCGTATTCGCGACATTAGCTTCTTTATATGTATTTGCAGATAAGTAAGAATAACAACAATTAGTTTGCGATCGTACAAAAGAAAATTTTATTTCGTAGTGTATACACACTGGTGGCGTAAATAATTTTCATTTAAATTTTTTCATACAAAGTAATTAGTTATGCAAAAATCATAATATATTTCAACTTTAATTTATTTAAAAAATTGTAATTAAACATGCTTTGAAAAATACGCTTGTAAGATTTAATTTTTTTTCATTTGAAAACAATTTATCGAATAGTACCAAAGTTTTGCGACSGCACTGTACTTAATTTTAATGCGTACTGTACTAATATAAACTTTTATTGCGTACTGTTCTACCATTACGAACTTTTACTGCGTACTGTATATTTTACTAATGGTTTGCGTCCGGGCTAAACAAAATGCTGGTTGCTTGYTGCGATTTCTGCATTTCTGCGCGCCTGGTGCAAATCGTCCAATTTGAGTTGCGGACAAATTGCAGCGACACGGCTAAGGGTGGCCMGAAAAAATAAATGCGAAAAACTTTGAAATGGCGCTTTTTTAAGGTTGCGCTGCACCTAACGCAATTTAATTAATTTTATAAATTAAAATAATTAAAGAAATTAATCAAAAAATTAATGGAAAAAACTGTGTTTTTGTGTAAATTGCTTTTTATTGAAGATTCTCTTAATTTTGCATATGAAGATTTTGTACATTTTTCTTTATTTTTTTAATAATATTTTTGTTTAGCTTAATGTTTGTTGTCTTCTCTATTAATAATATTTGTTTTCTTACTTTTATTAAATTTTACTTCACTTTTGTATAATAGTTGCATTTATAAGTATATGCATGTGTATGTAATTACACACGTACGATAATACGCATTCTTGGTATATGCTCCGTATTAATTTTAACGTTGTTTAATTAAGTGTTGTATATAGAATTTACATTTTTACCGCAATATAACTAGGTAAATATTTAGTAAGTGCAATTACAAGTACATAAATTGTATTTCTTAATATACTTATCATATGTGTATACGTATGTACATATGCATATGCGTTTSTATATGTATAAACGCGTTTATATACATTTATAAACACATATTTATAATCTACATGTAGATCCAACTAAACTACTTATATGGCCCCGCTATTCCACAAGTGTTGCTACATAATTGTTACTTTAAGTTAAATCGTAAGTTTTACAAAATAATAACTATATTTTAGGTTTTGCTTTTAATTTTTTTTTTTTTTT